TTTTCAATAAGATAAGAAGACTTAATCATAAAAACACTGATTTCATGGAATTATTCTTGTTTTCTCTGTTAATCGGAGATTCATGGCCTAATGGCTGACCTGACTAATTCAACATCCAGCGACCCAAAATCATGCCGAGCCAAGAGGTCCAGAGAGCTACGATAGAATTCACTGTCAAGAACCCTGAGCTCCAACACTGATATGAAAGGTATACCAGTGTTGGTGTTAAAAAGGCAAACATGAACATATTCTGATAAGGCAGTATAAATGATTTCTTTGGTTACTATCTCAGATGCATTCTGAAACACCAGAGTGTCCCACCAATCGGCTCCAAGATAGATATCAAACTTGGGAAGAGAGTTTTCACCATCATAGTTTCCATACATGAACATGGCTCTCACTAAAAATTTTCTGCTACTTCCTTGAGGAGCAGTAAGAGTATAGCAGTTCCTTTCTCCTTCTGGGAAGCTTCGAACATTCCGGAACTGCCTTTTGAGAGTCTGTATCTGATGTTTGGGTGATATGCTATGACTTATTCCAGTGGATATGATGTTGGCATCTGAAGAGTAATAGATGGAAGTAGTTTCATCTGTGTAGCTTGGTTCATCCACGAGCCCACAATCAATACTGACGAATCCTGCAAAAAGTTTATGCATAAGTGGCAAGAAACATGAAACATGAAGATGTAGTTGCAGTCAGATGAACTCGATGAGACTAGCTATTAGCTAACCTGATTGATCCTGGGAATGAACAATAATTGCAAGAGTCAAAGCAAGTTGAAGTAATGCAAATAGAACATGTCCTGCCATTTGCAATTGTGTTTTGAGTTGAAAGGTTTTTCAGACTAGAAAATATCCTTGTGCTTTTGGTCAAAATATGCCATATTGTACCAAAAGAAACACAGAAGAACCAGTACCTTCTTTAGACCAGTTCTAAAGTCGAATTGTTCAAAATGGATATATGAACTTGCTTTTTGTTTAGTTCATCTTTGGATGGAGATCAGGATTGTATCTGTAGATGGAATCATGGGTTTTATATTAAAATATTTAGTTGAACCATCAGATGTTATTTCACCAGTAGTTGAACTTGAATTTACATGGTTAACCAGAAGGCCAAAATTAAACAATCTTAGCCCGCATTTGACTTGGGGAAATAATTTAAATTCCGTTAATTAAGCTAGTTATAACACGTCAGGCAAGGAGGGAAACAGAGTGCGTCCCAAACTGATTTCAGTTAGTTGCTCTCTTCGTGGGGTTATTATAAGGCAGTTTTAAGTTGGATTTTTTTGGTTCTCGACATAAAACATTTGATATACTATTAATTATATTTTTTAATATTACTCCTATTTAAATTCATTAAATATGATTGAGAATGCAATGTAAATATCAAAATTTTTTATTTAAATAAAGTTAAAAATTGAAAATTTATTTTATTTCAGATAAATTTAATAAATTAACCACTTTTTTTATTTTTAAATTTTGATGTAGTTAAAAGTTTTATATAATAGAAACTGGAGGAATATATCAACAAAATCTTTTCCATGCTGTAATTTTTTTTTCTCACTCCAAGAACACTCCTCTACAAACGGTTGGTTACATGGCGGTGGCCCTATTATCAAGACAATAAAACTACTAAAGCCGACTATGAACTTCCATGTTTATTTCTTCTAGATCTAGTTGTTAATATAAGACAAATTTTAAATTTTTTTATCCTTAACATAAGACAAAGTTAAAACAAATATTTATTATAGTTTGAATTTTAAAGCAATAATTTATTATAGTTATTAATTACAAAGAAAAATAAAATTAAAAGTTATATTCTATATTTTTTAAAAATATAAGGCTTTTTTTTTGGATTGAATGTTCAAAAATATAACCACTTAACCATTATCGATAATTGAGACACTCTATTTTTTTTTTATGAAGGAAGCTAAAAAACAAAACAAAAACAACAAAGGAAAAACAAAAGAACACTAGAGAGAGGGCTTAAGGTGGTTTCAGATAATTCAAGAAATTGAGCACATATGGTGCCAATGATAGAAACTAAGTGCCACTCACAAAGAATGCTTCGCAAGAGATGAGACACTCTATTTAATAAAAGTAAATATAAAAAAATAGTATTAATTTAAAAATAATTAATTATTTATTAGGTAGTATAATTCAATTAAAAATACCTTCTATTTTTTTAAAAGAGTATTTTTAAAGAATTTTAAGGATATAACTATAATTTTTTAATAAGTTTGGTGATATAAAAAAGAAAAAACATAACTTTAGATTTCTATATTTTGCCCAAATTTTGTTATAGGTCATTATACTTTTTTTCAATATTCTAAACCTCTATACTTTTGTTTTTTGATATTTTAGGTCCCTTTATGAGCAGTGTTTGTAGAGATATAGAACATTAAAAAACAAAAGTATAAAAATATAGAATATTAAAAAAAAATACAGAAACTTATAGTAAAATTTGGGTAAAATATATAGACCCAATGTTATGTCTTTTCTGTAAAAACTGATAAATCTTATTTATAATAGGTCCCTCTAATTTCAACGGGGCTCAAAATTCTTGGACACGGTCCTGGATATAATGCTAATGAGTTGACTTTGTTTTGATGACAAAAGGAGAGACAAGGGCCCATCTACACTTTTTAAATATAAGCATGCTAACTAGAGTTTAGGGGGAAAAATTATCTACTATTAATGCGTGTATTAAAATAAAGGGAGTATGACAGTTAAGTTCTATGAGAATTAATTAATTTAAGTTAAATCTCAACTAAATTTAAAGTATTGACAAAGTTCCTTAATCCTTTAGTAATAATAAATATAACATCTTCATAAATTTATAAGTTCAACTTTTAATTTTATAACTTTATTATAATACATTTGTAACTTATTTTTTAAATTTTAATAGAGCTAAAAATAAACAATAGGCAATAGAGAAATGGATGAACTATTTATTTGATTGATAAATAGGCAATGGGCAAAGAATAAATAATAGACTTAATATTTTAATATTAAACATAAGCATTTGTGTTTTCTGTTAAAATATGAAAAATAAATTGTAAATTCATTCATAACAAAATTATAAAATTGAAAACCCAACTTACAAATGCTCAAAGTTGTTAGACTTAATATTTTTGATATTAAAGATGAATATTCATATATCCTGTTAAAATTAGGAAAACAAGTAACAAATACATCACACAAAATTGAAAATAGAAAGCCGAAATTATAAATTTCTAAAACTATTAAATTTTATACTTCTCAATATTAAATATAAATATTTATATTTTTGTTAAAATTTAAAAAATAAGTTGTAAATATATCATAATAAAAATGTAAAATGAGAAGCTAAACTTATAAATTTTTGCAAATTCTTATTAAACCTATTACTACTGAAAGATAAAAGGGCTTTGTTGACATTTTAAAATTGGTTGAGATTTAACTTCAATTAATTAATTTTTTTAAAATTTAACTGCCATTCTTTCTAAAATAAGTTGTCATTTCTATAATTCTTAACCTTGCCCGGAAAGAGACGTTCTTAAGGGGGAAAAAGATGAGAGCGAACTCTTGTTTCGATAAGAATTAAGAAGAGAAAATTAAGAGAGAAGTCAGAAAATTGGAGAAAAGATAATAGAAAAAATCACAAATCAAGACCATATAAGGAGGGTAATAATAATTTAGGCCCTCTGATTACAGAAATATCAATTTTTTTAACCAATTATTATAGTAATTTCAATTAAAGATCATAGTTTTCAATTGTAATTAAAAAAGTTTTCACTGTCCAAATTGCCCTTGATGAAAAACTCACCGGCGGACAGTGGCCAAAAAACTTGCCCTGCAACAACTCTCTCTCTCTCTCGGGATAAAAAACTTTTTAGCAAAAATAATTTGGTCATGATGACTGAAAATGCTTAAAGTGAATGTGAAAATTCTTAACTTCACTATTTAAAAGCCTTAAATTCATTTGAAAATTGACCTATTTCAAACTTGGAGTAAGTTATCTGGTAAAAAAATGCCTAAAGTACATTTCCTTAATATCACTACTAAAAAGCTCTAACGTCACTTGTAAATTGATTTATTTACAAATGAACAAAACCTTTTAGTGAATAATATACTGAAAGGTTTAATTGTTTAGAGAGTATAATAATATTATGCAATTTGTATAGTAACCCTACCTAATGAGATAAATTTTATTGTTATCATAAATTGACTTATTTCAAGCGCAGATTAAATTGTTGGTGACTAAAAATGGGATTACTTATCTATTTTAAGTGAGGTTAAAGCTTTGCAGCAGTTTGGAAGTTAAAGAATTCTACCCCCATCTTAAACATTTTCAGCCTTAAAAAAAGGAATTTTTATAGAAAAAAAACATTTTTTGATTCTCTTCCAAAGCTGAAAGCCCTCGAACTGCAGTTAGAGAGAAAAAAAGAAAAAGAGTACAGTAATTGAAGCTTAAGGAAACTTTTTTGTCCCTCCAACATCTTCAGCTTAAGAAAGATAGTAGAAGAAATGATTATTGGGTTCTCAAGATATTCTCTTATCAATGTATCAACTGCTATGCTTGTCAATGTATTTATCCTCAAGGCACAATTCTTTTATACATTTCATCAATTTCTCATATTAATAACAAAACAATAATATATATCATTTGTGAAAAAAATGTAATCATCATGCTAAAACTAAAATATATAATTTTTCCCATAATTTAAACTTGTTCTATTTCTCCCTTTTGAAATCTTCAGCCTAATTTGTCAAATGGAAATTAAGACTTGGTTTGAATGGAGAGAAAAGTAGGAAGAAAATAGAAAAGAGAGAAAACTCTAGAGAGAAATTTTCAAAAATAATATATTTCATTATTATGTTTAGGAGTTTTCTCTCCTAGGTTTTTTTCCCTCTCTATTTTTCCATCCATCCAAACAAAGAGTAAAGAACTGAGGTAACATGCAAATGATCAAAATTAAATTACTCACTTGCATAGTTTCATATAATTTTTGGTCATGATTAGGCATCAAATTCTTCTCCATAAAAACAACCTCTTTACATATATTTTGATTATTCTCCTGATTAATTCATACATAACTTTAGCTAGTCTTTCACTTCAAGAAATACAATTATTAAAAACGGTAAACTAAAGACTTTTGACTCTTGACTAGAAAAAATAGAAACCATCAAAATAGGAAAATAAGGACACACGTAGGAAACTATAACATAGGAATCTGTTATGAAACATTCTAGACACCCCACTTGTCTCCACCTGGGTTTAGCTTCAATCTCTTCTCCTTGGACCTCTTCTCCATGTCATGTTGAATATTTCATCGGCTTACATTGAAAGATTTGGATTTCCACCAAAGCTTGTGTTTAAAATGAAAAGAGATCAAATTATATATCACTCTATTCACCAAAAAAACCAGTGATAAAGAGGGCATTATCTTAACTGTCACTTTAAATAGAAGTAGAGGATCTCACTCAAAATTGAAGAGAAATTATAATGCTAGTTTATTTAAAACTCCTCCTGCAGATGGATAATGTATCTCCCTTAAAACATCAAATTAATTTATGCGGATAGTTCTCATATCATTAGTCATTTATTTCCCTAATGGAGGCATGACATATCAAAAGAAATATTTATACGTTCCCTAAAATTCAGAAGGATTATTTACACATTGTTAAATTTTAAAGGATAGTCTGAGATTATATGCTCAAGACCCTAAGTTAGGGGTATTGTAAATTTTAGCTATGAGAATTAAAAATGAAACCATTTAACTTTACTTCATTTTCTAACACTTATTTCAATTATTAAAAAAAAAAATCCATCCTCTCGCAGTTGAAAAATTTGGAATTTAGGGTTACATATTCCTTTCTTGTACAGAAAGATGTTTTAAATGCTAAAGGGTGAAAGTTTAAGAGACTTAATTCTTGTTGAAGAAAAATGAAAGGGGTATTTGCAAAATGACTTAAATTGGCGAAGTGTAATGTGATTCCTACCTAAATAGATACTTCAAAAGGAGCATACCTTAGTTTAAGTGTTCCATTCTTTGACTTTTCTATAAGTTCTGATGGAATTGTTCCTGATAGCTTATTGTCTTCTAGGTCTCTTCAAGGGGGAAAATATAGTTTTAGTTCTTTTAGAATATACACGTTTGCATGAAGAATTTAAGAACGTGGAAGAACATTGAAACGGTATACTTACAGAACCTTCAAGAATTGCAGTTGAGCCAGGAAACTAGGTACTTCTCCAACTAAATTGTTGTCTGACAAATCCCTGAAACGACAATCAATTATCTTCACAGATCCTCAACTATAAGTTACCTTGTTACTATTTTCATCAAAGAGATTGAGATGCTTACAAATACTCAATGGACTTCAAATTGTATATGTCTGGAGCTATGTTTCTAGTCAATCCACCAGAGGATAAGTTCCTTAAAAAACAAAAAAAAGTTATGAAACTCATTGCTATATTGTTGAAGATAATGAAGTCAAACCGTAAAATGCTAAATTTTTCTTTTACTGCTATTTTTTGCCAAACTTACAAGGATGTGATCCTTCGTGTGCCAGATCCATCATAGCTGCAGTTAAGACCGTCCCACAAGTATGCCTGTGGAGTACAAGGGTCTCCTTGCCAGTTTCTCTTAATCCCATAAAATGACTTGATGTTCATGATTGCATCAACTTGTATAATACAAGCAAGTCAGTCAAGTTAAATTAATAACAATGGCAAATTTTGACAATATTAACTGAACTTGGAGCCAACGAACATACCATCTGTTTCCTGTGTTTGTGTTTGTGAGAGATTCTTTTCCACATATATCTCTATGGCATTGCAAAGAGGAGGAAGAGTTGATCTCTCCGTTCTATTGAGCCAAATATTGAGCCAAGGTTCAGGTTTTACAGCCAAATAATAAATGGTTCTAAGGTAGAAAGGACTGATATCAGCACTGAGAAGGCCTCCATTCACGAAAATGTCAAATTGCCTGGTTTGGTTTTCTTGGAGTTTCTGGATTTCAGCAAAGTACATGTATGCATATAATGTGGAGGCATTGTAACCAGGAAGAAAGTTAAATTCCATGTTGTTGCCGGCATTAGCTGGAGTTGCTGCTGATCTCATGACAATGGATGGTGGGTAATTCATTAAACCAGATGATGTTGATCCTTGGTCTACAGGGAGTGAGGTATTTATCTGTTTCCAGTCTTTTGTGTTATAAGGTGTCCATATTCGATCATATGCGTCATCAGGGAATCTATAAAAATTGCAAAAGGATCAATAGAGGTGGAAATAGGTTAGGCTTTGACCAAATAGTCCTGGTGCCTCAGCCTAGCTTGATAGCTTCACTTTTAAGTCAACTATATATAGTTTCTTGCAATTTTGTTCCTTGTTCAATAAGATATTTTCATTTTTGTCCATTGATCCTATTTCCTTTCATGAATATAGAACTTAAGCTAGTACACACCTTGTTCACATAATATAAGAACTAAGAAGGCTTGATTAAAAAAACACTGATCTCATGCAATTCTTCCTATTTTATGGTGTAACGACTCACCTGACTAATTCACCATCCAGCAACCCAAGATCATGCCTAGCCAAGAGGTCCAGAGAGCTAAAAAGATAGACATCATAGTCAAGAAATCTAAGCTCCAACACTGATATGAAAGGTGCACCAGTGTTGGTGTTAAGAAGGCAAACATGAACAAAATCTGATGAAGCAGCATATATGATTTCTTTGGTTACTATCTCAGATGCATTCTGAAACACCAGAGTGTCCCACCAATCGGCTCCAAGATAAATATCAAACTTGGGGAGAGAATTTTCACCATCATAGTTTCCATACATGAACATGGCTCTCACTAAGAACTTTCTGCTACTTCCTTGCGGAGCAGTAAGAGTATAGCAGTTCCTTTCTCCTTCTGGGAAGCTTCGAACAGTCCATAACTGCCTTTTAGGGGTCTGTGTCTTATGTTTAGATGATATGCTGTGACTAATTCCAGTGGATATGATGTTGGCATCTGAAGTGTAATATATTGAAGTTGTTTCATCTGTATAGCTTGGTTGATCCACGAGTCCACAATCAATACTGATGAATCCTGCATAAAGGTTAAGCATAAACAGTAAGAAAATAAAGATTTAGTTAATTTCAGATGAACAAGTCGAGACTAGTTAACTTGATTGATTCTGGGATTGAACAAGGACTACAAGAGTCGAAGCAAGTTGAAAGATTGCAAAAAGAACATGTCCAGCCATTTGCAGCTATGTCTTTAGAGTTGAAAGGTTTTGCAGACTCGAAGATTTCCTTTTGCTTTTGGAAAAAAATGCCAACGTTTTGGCTCACTATTTATGCTATTCATTCTCTCCACTCCAAGTTTCTTTGAAAGAACCATCAAACAGTAAAGAAAAAATCAGAGAAGAACCAGTCCCTTCTTTAGACCCATTCTAAAGAAACATCACTGGGCGGAGGTTAACATTTTATCTGTAGATTGAATCTTGTGTTTTAGGTAAAATATTTAATATTTAATTCAATAGTCTGATTTAATTTTATTAGAAGTGTTTTTTTTTTGGCCAAATATTTTATCAGAAATTGAAATTGTATGATTAACTAGAAGGCTCCAAATAAACAAACATTTCCCGCATTTGACATGAGAAAATAGTTGATATCTTTGTTAATTAAACAATTTCTATTTTCTAATATATATCAAGCAAAAAAAAAAAATATTGCCACAAACTTTGAAATGACTGTATAATATGTTTTAACTATAAGCCAATCCCTTTCTTAGACAATCCTAAAGTCGAATTGTTCAAGTGAAACTTCTCTTTTGTACACTTTATCATTGGCCGGAGATCAAATTTTATCTCCGTAGATAGAATCCTGCATTTTTTTTTTGTAGAATAATTAATATTTAATTCAATAGTCAGATGTAATTTCATCAAAAGTTCAAATTACATGGTTAACTAGAAGGTAAACAAACATATCCTGCATTGGCCCGAGTAAACAGCCGACGTATCTGTTTTTTTTTTTTTTTTTTTTTTACTATTTCAAATATTTTAGAAAAAAAACTTGTTGCCACAAGCTTTGAAATGATTGTAACATGTTTAAAATATAACCGTGTCCGCTGAGACCAATATAATTCTGAAGTTGAATTGTTGAACTGAAAATATGAAATTCTCTTTTGTCTAGTTTATCATTGTCCGGAGATTAATATTTTATCTATAGATTGAATCCTGAGTTTTATTTAGAATATTTAATTGGATAGTCAGATGTAATTTCAAATTTTTCTTTGTTTTAATTATTTTATTTCATGCGAAAATCACCCCTTAAAAAAATACCAGGTGTTATTTTTTCAAAATGAGGAGATATCTATTTGAAGAATCATATATTTATAAATTAATTTTTTTTTATAATAAGTTATGTAGGAAGTTGTAATTAACTTTTTTTTTAATTTCTAAAGTCACCTTCTGAAGATTATAAAATTAAAAGGTCAGGTGGTTTTAAAGTTTTAGAATAGCCAAATTCTTTTTTCCATTTGAAAAAAACTCATTCAAAAAGCATTGAGGAAGGATGGACTTTCCTATGATTTGAGCAACTGGGCAATCTCGTAATACGTGTGACACATCCTTCGTTTTGTTTTTTTGAGTGAAACTAGGAAACTTCATTAACAAGAATGTAAGCAAGTACGAGCTAATAAGTAACAACAAACAAAGAGAAAAACACAAGAGGACCTCTCAAGGAAACATAAACAAACCTAATGAGTAAGTTCCTGAAACAAATTAAAATGACAAGGAATATTCTGAACTAACTGCCAACTTAACCAAAACAACATCTCTATACAAAAAATGAAGGTTAATAGTCTAATTCCTATGCAAGAGTCTCCTCATGACCTAAACAATATCATAAAAGTAATGATAGTTATGATTGCCTTATATGATAGTCAAAATGGCAAACATACTATTACATAAGACTTCTACAATTCTAAAACCTTTCTTCTAACATAATTTCAACCCATAAAAATACCATAAATTTCAGCAATATTAGTACATACATGATTCAGCTTTTTACTAAAACCTAAAGCCAAGTCACCAGTAGTATCTCTCAAAAGTCCACCACATGCACTACACCCATTAATAAGAATGGACTCGTCCATCTCTAATCTAATGCTATCGACTCTCAAATGATGAGAACATTATTCATGTCGTAGACCTTAGCGATTCTCAATTTGAGTAAGAATATTGATATCTGTAGATAAAATAGTAAATTAGTCATTATCTCTCCTCTTCTCTTGAACCAAATAAATGATCATTAAAAACCCCTCCCCTCCTCTCAAACCAAACATAGCCTTAGCGGAGGATAGAAGAGAAAATTAGTAAAAAAAATTTAATAAGATAACTTATGAATATAACCAAAAAAAATCTCTCTTCTTTATAAATAGACAACAAAAGTCTAATAATCACTGTTGTTTCTTTATAGTTCAAAAAAAAAATTCATTGTTGCTCCGGAGACCAAATTTACAATAAACAAAAGATGGTTTGAATGATGTTCTGGTTTTTTGTTGAGATGCTTTTTAAAAAGACTCATGAGTTTTTAAAAAGACTTATGAGTAGATTGGATTCTTGGGAAGAGTTAAAGTGTCAAGGTATATTTTTGCTTTCATACTTTCTTTCAAAGAGCATTAAACTCTCTGTATTAATAATACGTGGGAAGTAACGCAGATAATATACAACACAATATCTATGGAAGCATAATACGATATTCATGCATTCTTAATTGAATGTCCATACTTGGACATGCATGGACATTGTGTTAAGAATTCATGAATATTATATTGAGAATTCATGAACATCGTGTTATATATGCATTGACATTGTATTGTATATACTTTGTGTGACTTATATATTTTAATTAATTTATAGATCAACTAGATACACATGGACATGGTGTTGAGAATTCATGAGTATCGTGTTCGATACCCATGGACATATTGTTGTACATGCTTTGTGTGACTTATATATTTTAATTAATCTATAAATCAATTGGACACGCATGGACATTGTGTTAGAAATTCATGAATATCATGTTATGTATCTGTGAACATTGTATTATACATGCTCTGCATGACTTATATATTTCAATTAACCTATAAATCAACTGGGCACGCATATATATTATGTTAAGAATTTATGAGTATTATGTTATGCGCTCATAGACATTGTGTTCTACATGCTCTACGTGACTTGTTTATTTTAATTAAACTATAGATTAATTGGACATGCATAAACATTGTGTTAAGAATTCATGATCATCGTGTTGTGCATTCATGGATATTATGTTATACATTCTTTGTGTGACTTGTATATTTTAACTACAGATCAACTGGACATGCATATACATCATGGTGAGAATTCATGAATATCATGTTGTGCTTCGTGGATGAGAGTTTTGCTCAAATTTTGATTTTTCAAATTACATAAGGACAAAATTGTACTTTCACTCCTAAAAAAAATTGTTACGAAGACCCTTCAAGCAGTGCATTATCATAATTTTTTGGGTCCAAACTGTAAATTTTCGTCTCTTTAGAGTTTGCGATGTGATTCTCCCTTGTTTAATCTACTTGAACAAGAATAGGGCACTAATTTTATCCCAAAAAAAAAAGGAGAAGGGTAATAAAATCTGCCTCATTTTCGCTATGATAGACAAGGAAAAAGAACTGTTCTGTTCTTAGAACCAAAACTGCACTATTTTTCTTACGAAATCTTCCGCCTCATTTGTCAGATGGTGATTAAGGAACTGACATAACATGGAATCGATTCATCTTTAGATAAGATGCTCTTCAAAAGCTGAACGTGCATTAACTTCAGATGAGTATTAATTTAGACAGTTAAAATGAATGAGTCTAGTAATTGAACCATGCTATAATAGTGTGCTGTTGTTGCAGGGAGCAGAATTGAAAAAGAAACTGAAGACTCACTCCCGCCAGTTCCCAACCCCAAGGAAGGGAGTCCATATATGGGTTCAAGAACTGCAATGTAAGATGAAGCTAAAGTCTGCAATTTAGATTGGGCAAGGCTTCAATGGAAAAAGAAGTTCTTCAGGTAGTGGTTGCATAGGTGAGAAGAGCAAAAAAAATTTGGAAAACTATTTCTATGTTGCATGATTGCATCCGCTATTCACATCATGGCAAGATGTTAAGCTGATGGAAACTTTTGTCCCTTTATCATTAGCTTAGGAAAGAGAGTAGAAAGAATGTTTATTAAATCTCAGCAAATTGTTTATAATCAACAATGCATGAGGTCAAATTTCACTAAAAATAACAAGCCCCAGAATAAAAAGCTTCACCCTGTCCCAGTCTCATAAAATCTCCCTCATTAAGGGGGGGAAAAAGAAAAGTCTGCAATTCTTCTTTCTTTTATTTTTGGGTACAAATCCAGCAGGCCATTATGGAAATATTCTTCTCCATAAAAACTATCCCTCCATGCACCATGAAATAAAAAAGAAAGAAGGCAGTGTTAACTTTGCCAATATTTTAACTATCTAGCCAGAGAACTCTCTCCACTAATTCCACCAAATGAGAAATCAATTTTACTACGAACTCCATGAGCCGTTTCCATAGCTAAACATTGTCTCAATTCCATCACTACGTTACTCATTTTTGGCCTATTCAGGGAAGAAGGTACCACACAAGCCATGGCAGTATCCAACGCTTTTCTTGCGGAATCTTTATCAAAGTTTCCCTCTAATCTTGGATCCACAATATCATCAATCTTGCTTTCAGGAAGCATGAGATTAACCCATTGGACTATGTGAGATTTTTCTTCTGTCTTGGCTATAGCAGGTTGTCCTGTAATTATCTGAAGCAGAACAATCCCAAAGCTGTAAACATCACTTTTCTCAGTCAACCTGTTTGACATATTGTACCTATATGACATAGAAAACCTCCAACTCAACCTAAGATTTTTTTTCTAAAGGAAAACAAGGCTAACTTGTGCACTTGCCAATTTCTGAGAACTAAAGATAATTAGACTTTGTAGTTCAGAGATGGCAAAAACTTACTCGGGATCAAGATATCCTGGGGTGCCAGCTATCCTAGTAAATATATGCGTATCACTGTCATCAGGAAAGATTCTTGACAATCCAAAATCAGCTATTTTTCCTCGGAAATATTCATTCAGTAAGATGTTTTGGGATTTGACGTCTCTGTGAACAATTGGTGGCTTACATCCCGTATGCAGGTACTCCAAGCCTACAGTTAAAAGTGAAGCAACTTTTGCTGCATAAATGGAAGGATCAAGAAACGAAATAAAGGCAAAAAATGAGTTATTTCTTTCCTAACCTTCTGCAGCATCAACTGCAATTTGTAGCCGTTGTTTCCAATCCAAGATGTTCTCATTTTTCTCTGCATTCACACAAGTCCAACCAAAAAATTACTCACATAATTTAGAATTGATTTTTTATTCACCTTTCAAGCTTCATCTAAAGGTGTATGTTTAGCTTTATAAGGGCTGTTTGAATGCATATTACTAACTTCCTCATGATAAGAAAAATTTAGATAGACATGAGGAATAGTATGGCAAATACCTGATAAATGTTTAGCCAAGTCACCATTAGCCATATACTCATAGATGAGGGCTATGTTGGAGCCATCATCACAATATCCTATCAGAGCAGTCAACCGATTATGGTGCACTTTAGCAAGAAGTTTTGCCTGTGAATCAGAAAGTCGTAACTTCAGTTTGTATGCTTGTGAAGGTATCGTAAAGGCTGCTGTAACCACGGTGGAATATGGTAATGATTTTGTAAAAGCCATATAAATGCATTCACAATTTGTCGATAAGGTGTTTGATAGAGCAATGATATCAGTATGATGAAGATTCAAATGAAAAAATCACACTATACCTCTGCCTGAAATTGCAGATATCCTTGAACTGAAGGAGAGAGCATCTTGACAGCAACCTGAGTGTTACTTGAGATGCCATGGTAGACTGTTCCAAATGCTCCTTTTCCCACAACCTTTTCAAAGTTGTTGGTAATTCTAGAAACTTCAGCATATGTGAATTGTTGTTTCCTTAGCCCTAGCTCATTGTTTATTCTGGAATGAGCACTCAGCTTCACTGGACATATGGAAACTGTGAGAGAAGAGAGAGCGTGTAGTAAAAAAAAAAAAAAAAATTACCACCCTTTCCTATCTCAGTTGTTTTAATAAACACAGTCAGACATTCTTTGGTAAATAGTATGACTGTGTTTATTAAAAGCACCTATTTGTAGGCTAAAATCTCGCTCACCCAAGAAATAAATTCTCCATCTTTACTTATTATAATGAAATTTCAGAAATAAAATGCAATATTACATGTACCTATTTGTCTTTTTCTGAAGATGCGGAAGGTAATTGTGACTGCCAGCAGTGTAACGGCACCTGCTAGTGATGAAACTAATAGAATGGCAACTTTTGGCTTACTACTCTTGCATGAACCTTCTGGAGAGCAAAGATTTGGATTTCCACCAAAACTTGCATTTAAATGAAAAGTGAACAAGCTCTATCACACTATTCACAAAAAACCAATGATATATAGTGCTATATTAACCAATAATTTTAAATAGAAGAAGGGTATCATTTAAAATTGAAGTGAAATTAGAAAGAGGGATTGTAGTTTTGAGTTGCGCACAGATTGTTGGTGGCATTGGTTCTCTGTAGAGTAGAAGAGACAAAGAAGTAAAACCAACATTCTTTAGGTTTAATTATGTTGACTACAAATGACTTCTTTAAAGGAGTTGATCACAAATTTTGTGGAGTTGAAAAGATTCGAAGGGGGAAACGTCGTGACATGGCAAATGAAGGGGAAATTTCTTCTCATAACTTTGGATTTGGCTTATATCCTCGCCACTCACAAGCCCCAAGAGAAGAAGAAACCATAGCTGACTGAAATTAGAGAAAGGGGGAAGTATGGCTTATGTTTATGTTCTCATCCTCAATAGGTTTAGTGATGCCCTCTTTGATGTTTATCAAGACTCAACCATTGCTAAGGAAATCCAGGACAAATTAGAGGCAAGGTACAAGTAAGAAAATGCAACAAGTAGAAAATTTTTTGTTACTCATTTTGATAATTATAGATTGATTGATGGAATATCTATTATGAACCAAATACATGAAATTGAGCATATTTTGAATAATTTCATATAACTTAACATGCATATGGATGAACATATCATTATCTCCTCAATCATAGACAACTTTCTCCTTCATGAAAGGAATTCACAAAGAATCTCAACTCTAAGTATAAATGAGAAGATATATCTATTGAACAATTGGAAAATTATCTTTGTTCGGAAGAGGAACATAGAAAACAAGATGGTGCAGGATATAACAAACTCAGTCTAAACGATAACCTTAGAATTTGTTTTGAGCCTTAGGAATGACTTGGAATAATTTGGAAGGGGATCAGGAGATAAAATAGGAGAGAAAATAGGCTACCATGAGTGTTCAATTGCAAACGTGAATAAATGATTATATGCACATAAATAAAAGTTGAAAAAGGTTATTTCCTCAAGAGAAATATAGTGAAATAGCAAACTAAAATATGACATGGTTTATGCCAGACAAATTTCAAAGTATAGGGACTTTATTGTCAAATTTTAAGGTTAATGAGATTATATGCTCAAGATTGTAAGCTTTTTTTTTTTTTTTGGGCAGGGTTTACTTTCTATACAATTTAGCTTAAGAGAATTAAAAATATAACAATTTAACTTCACTTCATTTGCTAACACTAACAGCCACATCTATTATGCAAATAAAAATTATTCATCCTCTGGTATAAAGCGGCATCCTGTTAACAGAAAGATGTTTTAAATTCTAAAGGGTGAAAATTTTATATACTTATTTTTTGTTTGAGAAAAATGAAAAGGGTATTTGCAAAGTGACCAGAGTTGATGGAGTGCAATGAAATTCTCTCTAAATAAAAGGAGCACACCTGAGGTTAAGTGATCCTTTCTTTGACCTCTCAATAAGTTCTGTTGGAACCGTTCCTGATAGCTGATTGCCTTCTAGGTTTCTTCAATGGACCACGAAACTATGTTAGTTTTAGTTTTTTTAAGCATCCACATGTTTTCATGAAGAATTTGAGAACCCAAATGAAAATTGAAACATTTTACTTACAGAACCCTCAAGAACTGCATTTGAGACAGGAAACTAGGTACATCCCCAACTAAATTGTTGTCTGATAAATCCCTAAAATGAGAATAAATTGTTTTTACAGATCATCTACTATAAGTTTCTATTTTCATCCAAGAAATTGAGATACTTACAAATACTCAATAGACTTTAAATTCGATATATCTGGAGCTATGTTTCCAGTTAATCCGGCAGAGGATAAGATCCTGAAAGACAAAACGGCGTGGAAGGTCATCACTGTTGTTGAAGATGATGTAGTCAAATCATTATTTTTATGCCACACTCACAAGGATGTGATCCTTCGTGGGCCAGATCCGTCATAGCTGCAATTAAGGCCATCCCACGAGTATGCCTGTGGAGTACAAGGGTCTCCTTGCCAGTTTCTCTTGATCCCATAGAATGATTTGATGCTCATGATAGCATCAACTTGTATAATACAAGCAAGTCAGTTAACTTAAATTAAAAACTGGGACTAATTCTCATAATATTTACGGAACTTGTAATCAGTGGACATACCATCTGTTTGCTGTGTTTGTGATTGTGAGAGATTCTTAGCCATGTATACCTCAATGGCATTGAAAAGAGGAGGAAGAGTCGATCTATCCGTTTCATTGATCCAAATATTAAGCCAAGGTGAAATTTGTATAGCTAAATAATAACTGGTTTCGAGGTATGAAGGACTGGCATTAGCAATGAAAATGTCTCCATTCACGAAAATGTTAAACTGTCTGATTTGATTTGCTTGGAGTTTCTGTATTTCAGCAAAGTACAAGTATGCATAGAATATGGAGACATTGTCCCTGGACTGCATGAAGTGAAATTCCATGTTGTTGCTGACATTTGCCGGAATTGCTGCTGTTCTCATGACGTTGAATGGTGGAAATGTTATGAAACTGAATGATGATGCTGCTATTGATGATGATGATCCTTGGTCTACAGGGAGTGAGGTGTTTATCTGTTTCCAGTCTTTTGAGTTATAAGGTGTCCATATTCTATCATACATGTCATCTGGGTACCTTTGAAAAATGGTGAAACATCAGTGAGCATGCAATTGAATCCCTATTTTCATTGTTTGTCATCTATAGATATTTTCTTGCCATCCAGTCCCTTATTTATTTAATCATTTCCATTCATAAATGTGGAACTTATCTAGCACATTACTTAGTTAGTACAGATAAGATAAAAAGCCTTAATTAAAAACAATACTATGTTTGGATACACATAGATTTGAGGCCAATGATTATCATAATTTTTTTATAATTTAAAATCCTTTCTAAATTCTTATTATTTAAAATTTGCATATGCACCTTCAAATAATAACTTTTGTTATTAAACTACCTAAACAAAGAATTTCAAATATATGGATTTAAAATGTAATCAAAATTTCAAATCCAAACACTACATAACATTATGGAATTCCTGGATGGGAAGGTGAACTTCAGACGTATGGATGCTAGGAATTTTTAAACGGGAAAATGATAGTTATGCACCTTGTATAGACATTAATAATAATTGAAGGGCTCCAAATATTGAAATGTTAAAAAAGGACCATGGCTTTTTTGATAAAATCAAGGTTCCTACTTGTTGGAACTATTTCTTATGCAAAGATATAAGGCTCACCTGATTAATTCACCATCCTGCAACCCTAAATCGTGCCGAGCCAAGAGCTCCATAGAGGTAAGAAAATAGGCATCATTGTCAAGAACTCTAAGCTCCAGCACTGATATGAAAGGTGTGCCATTGTTGGTGTTAAAAAGGCAAACATGAATATAATCAGCTGAAGCAACATAAATGATTTCCTTGATCACTATATCGGATGCATTCTGAAACCTCAGAGAGTCCCACCACTTGGCTCCAAGATAGATGTCAAATTCGGGAAGAGAGTTTTCACCATCATAGTTTCCATACATGAACATGGCTCTCACTAGGTTCTTGCTGCTACTTCCTCGAGAAGCATCAAGGGTATAGCAGTTCCTAGTTCCTTCTGGGAAACTTCGAACATTCCAGAACTGCCTTTTAAGAGTCTGTGTCTTATATTTGGATGATATACTGTGACTAATTCCACTGGATATGATGTTGGCATCTGATGTGTAATAGATTGAAGTAGTTTCATCTGTGTAGTTTAGTTTATCCACGAGTCCACAATCAATACTGATGAATCCTGCAAAACGGGGATGCATGAATTCTAAGAAACACGAAAATGTGGTTGCAGACAGATGAACAACATGCGACGAGACTAGCTATTTGCTAACCTGACTGATTTTTGGGTTGAACAAGAACTGCAAGAGTCAAAGCAAGTTGAAACAATGCAAATAGAACATGTCCTGCCATTAGCAATTTAAGTATTTACAACTGAAAGGTTTTGCAGACTCAAACGTTCAGCGATTCTATTCATTTTTTGGCACATGAATCCTATTCATGATCTCCATTTTTCTTTGAAAGGAACATCAAACAATAAAAATAAGATGGGAAAAACTTAGAAGAAACAGTGCCTTCTTTTTTTGACCAGCATCTCTTTTAAAGTTGAATTATTCACCTGAAAATATGAGCTGTTTTGTTTAGTTTATCATTACCCGATTAACGTCGCATTTGTAATTTGAATTATTGTGGGTTTTTCATATGATATTAACTTATAAAATAAGAATTAATTCCACTAGAAGTTGAATTATGCGATTAACTAGAAGGCTGAAAATAAACTAATGTCCGCATTTGAGTTTTGACTTGCGGAAATGAAGGATATCTCCATTAATTAAACTAGTTGTTATGTTATATATGTAATATAGAAAAAAAATCATATACCTACCGTTATATACTTTGATTATTTGGACAAGACTTTTTCTGTGTTGACACTGAAACCCAAATACATTCACACCAAGCACACACTTTTCAAAAATTTTCTATGATATCAATGTTTATCAGACTGGGGATATTTGGACTGCTCTGGCCCAAATATTGATTCCAAACCAATGGGCAATGACAAGGGGAAGACAAAAAATATCCATTTTTCAATATAAACAAGTTAGAAAGGTAAATAAAAGTTATATATTGTCAACGATGATATTGAGCTTAGACAAAAAAATTAATTCCTCACAACATAATGAAGTAAGTTTTGAATTTTTATTAAGAGAAATACCTATATTTAATGCCTGACTATATATTGAATATAATAAAGTAGGAAAAAAATAAGTTATTTATGCTAAAGTTGTCAAATTTGACCAAACAATTGTTAACGGGAGATCAGCAACTTTAATGTAATAAATTCACAACTTTAGCGTAGGAGATTGACAACTAATTTTAGAAACTTTACCAACGAGTACGTAGTTAATTTCCTACACTAAAGTTGATAATTTCTCATGCTAGAGTTACTAATCTTCCATTGACATGCTAAAACTAACAATTTTAGTATAAGAGATTGACAATTATTGTATAGGAGATTGACCCTTAATATTTTGTAATTGATACTAAGTTATTTATATATATATATATATATACTCATTTTGATACTTAATATAAGATAAATTTAACAATCTTCATAGATTTGGATGCCGTCCGTGTCACCTACAACCGTGGAGTCAGTGGCACTACGTGGCTGTTTCTCTGTTGTTGGATTAGAACAACGGATTAAGAGTTTTGAGAGCAGCCATAACCATCAGAGAAAGAAACTATAGGACCCAACCTCTATTTCTTCGAATGAGATGCACCTCCTTCTGAAGGAGGGAGAACCCAGTTAGGTCTGACGCCGAGAGCTACGCGACCATCTTCTTGAAATGTGAACCATGAGATCATGGTGAGAATGGGATGTCGATGGTGAAGAAAGTTTTCTCCGTCTTGGATGCAAGAGGGAGATCTAGAAGGGAAGAAGAAAATCGATTAGAAGAGAACTTGATCGTCACAGGGAGAGAGAGGTTTGACGAGATCAGATTGGGTATTTTCAAGTGCAATTATATCTGCTATCTGATGATGATGAGAAGAAGGATGAGGACAGGTTCTTCATGTTACTTGTTACATACATACAATGGCGAGATCTGTTTAAACCTTGTTCCTTCTTGTCTAATCATTTTTAATTGAATTCTAACTTAATTAAAAAAAAAAAAACGACTTTCCTACACACACACACACACACACACACAGAGGGGTATATAGATTCAAATGCCTATTCATGTACGACTTGGTGATGTAGTAGAAAATAAAAATGAATAGTAGATCCTGTTATTTGATGCACAGTTCAACCTTCTATTTTGTTTCACATATCTTTGTGAGAGTGAGTTACATTTGTAAAGGTATATGCTTATTGATTTATTCTTTATGATTATTGGGCTTGTTGAAGCATGGTGTTTCCTTTGCTCTTTATTATTCTGCTATTTCCTTTGCTCTGTTTTGCTACGAATGTTCCTCTGAAACCTTAGCCTTGCAGCGTACAAGATGATGGAGAAAGTTTTAAGAACAGCGCAGAGCAAAACGGGGATGAGGAAGACGGCATACAAAATAACATGATGAATTTTTTGAAGGGACCATTGTGCGTGAGGGAAGGCTGTAATGAATTTTTGGGTCGAATCTTCTGGTTTCTTTCACTAGTTGTCACAGCTGCTCTCAAAACTATTAAATCCATTGATCTAATCCAATAACAGAGGAGCAGCCACATAGTGCCACTCACTCTATGCTTGTAAGTGATACACTGACGGGATCCAAATCCATACTTCATACTTGTTAAGAAATGTTAATTATAATTTTGAAATTTAAAAAAATATTTAAATTTTTAATTTCACCTTTCTTTTTAACATTAATTACTCTAACTTTATATTATATTTAAAACCTGAAAAAAAATTCAAATTCCATCTTATATTAAGGATGAAAAAAGCATGTATATATGTATATAATTTTGCGCATGCTTATCAAATGGGTTTGATATTCTTGAGGTGATATTTGTTGGAAAATCTAATGAATAATTTGATTCAAGTCATGCTCGAAAATATTATCATTAACAGTTATTTCACCATACAGGTTGGATGCAACAATCTTCTAGGATTAAACAAAACTCTTCTTATAAAAAATAAGGTGACAGAACAATAAAAATACACAAATTGAAAAGAAGAATAAGGCGAAAGAGGAATGCTCAAAAAAATCAAGAATAGTATGTCCTGGACACTCTAAAAAAATTCATCAATAGGCATTACAAATTCCAAAAAAATAGAGCATTGAACAAGTCATTTTTAATCACTACAACTTTCTAAAAGTTAATACATTGAATCATTAATCACTATTATGTATTGCAAAATTCTAAAAGTTTAAATATTGAATTTGATTCTGGCAAAAAAATATTAAATTTGATCAATTAAAATATTTTTGAAGCTTGCAAAAATATTTTCAATGAGAATAAATTTCCTTTTACTATATATTATAACTAGATTTATGCCCTATGCAATGCACATTAATCTTTTAGTATGCAAAAGATAAAAGTAAATATAAATATTTAAAAAATTACTTTAGCGTACTTAAAGTAAAATACATTGCCTTTTTCTCTATTTTATATTTGATTAAAAGTACCTCTTTTATTTTTAAAACTTATACTAATTTTTTTAAAAATTAATAGTTAAGAGTTACAAAATACAAATATTTTTTCTACTTTTAAGTTTTTATTTCCATTCATTTAATCATTAATTGACAATTAAGTCATACATGTTAGACTAAAATACAATTCTTGATATATTCTTTTAAATTTCTATTCATATTTTAAATTTATTAGTTATACAAACTTATTTAATTAGTATTTTTTAAAAAATAATATTTTAAACATATACGCAAAAAATTTAATGAAATGGTAACAATCCTAAATCTGTAAACATCACTTTTATCATTACCTGTTTGAGGTATTGTACCTCCATGATAGAGAAAACCTCCAACTTCACCCTAATTTTTTTAAATTAAAAAAGAAAGACTAACTTGTGCACTCACCAATTTCTGAAAACTAAATATAACTTAGCTTACTAGTTTAGAGTTGGCAAAAACTTACCTGGGATCAAGATATCCTAGGGTGCCAAGCTATCCTTGTAAATATATGTGTGTCACCTTCAGAAGGGAAGATTTTTTACAATCCCAAATCATTGCCTTAAAAACATTCATTCAATAAGATGTTTTGGGATTTGACATCTCTGTGAACAATTGGTTGCTTACAACCAGTATGCAGATCCTCCAAGTATGTTTAAAAGTGAAGCAACTTTTGCTACATAAATAGAAAGATCAAGAAAGGAAAACAAGGCAAAAAATGAGTTATTTCTTTCCTAACTTTTTGCAAAATCCACTGCAATTTGTAATCATTGTTTCCAGTCTAAGATCTTTAAATTTCTCTTTGCATTAATATAAGTTGCATAAAAATTCTCTGTTCTATACTGTAATATTTTAATTTAAATTTTAATAGTTAATTTGGGTTAATAAAAATTTTAGAGAATATTTAAAGGTAAATAAATTAATAGGAGATGATTATTAGATCTAACTTAAAATATAATTCTAAGTTAAGATTTTAGAAATTATTATTATTATTATTATTAGGAAAAAAGAAAGAGAAATATAATAGAAGGAGAGACTGAGAAATAAAATGTAAATATATGTGTGTGTAGGAATTAAATAAAAAAATAAAAATAAAAAAAATTGGGGAGGTGGAACGCACAGTGTAATGTACAAATATATATATTAATTAAAAAAAAGGGGAGCAGTGGTTCCGTGTTCTGTGATGTACGTGTCTATATATATATATATATATATATAAAAAAACAAAAGGAAAGGAAAGAAAAAGGAGGTGGGGCCCACAATGTTTTATTTTTTAAAAAACTCACACCCCTTTCTCCTTCGTCCATTCAATCCTTTTCTTGTGCGCGAGTTGAGACAGAGAGAACACGAGTCGTCGGTGCGAGAGATTTAGGTTTTAAAAGTAAGAGTTTTTAATAGGATATTTAGGGTGTGATTTCAAGCTTTTCAAAACTAAGTAATTGTTCTAAAAATTTTTCTTAAAAATTTTTTAATAAATTATTCCTAATAATTTCTCTCCCACCACAATCTTCACCAACAACACAATCTACAAATAACATATTATTTATAAATATTAGTTTCAATTATTGAAACTAATAAAATAACTCTAATAATAGGATTAGAGAATATAACATAATTTTTAATCTCAATCTTAATACAAATTTAGAGTTAGTACTATTAAGTAAAATTTCTAACTCCTCTTTTAGTAATCAATAAATATTAATAAGCTAAAATCAACCTCTAAACCAAATTCTATTATTAAAATTTTTTTTATTTCATAAATTCGCACCTAAAATACCTAAAATTTAAAATTGACTCTCAAGTTTAGAATCATCATCCTATAGCCATAATAATTCATTTTTCATCCCAAATAATCATCTAAAACTCAATAAATTAACATATATTTTTGAATTTAATAAAAATCTAGC